GAAACAAGAACTAGATAATCCCACAATAACAGTTGGAGATTTAAATGCCCCATTTTCAATAATGGATTAAAAAACAGCCAGCTGATATATGAGAAAATAGACTTGAAGAAAATGAATCAACTGAGACCTAACAGACATGTATGGTACATTCCACCTAACAAGAGCAGACTATGCAATCTCTAAGTGCTCATGGAATGTTCTCCAGGATAGACTATGATCTGGCTATAAAAGAAACAATAAAATTACAATAATGGAAGAAATGCAAAGTATTTGATCACAATGAAATAAAATTAAAACTTAATGACAGCAAGAAATACAGGAAATTCACAGATATGTGAACATTAAGCAATGAAGTTATAAATAGCCACGTCAAAGAAGACATTTAAAACTGGGAAATAATTTGAGTTGAATAAAAATGATTACTGAACATAAGAAAACATTTAAGATGCAGCAAAACTGGTGTCCAAAGGGCTATTTATAGCAGTAAATTTCTACATATAAAGGATTTCAATTCAACAACATAGGCAAAGGATTTTTTGAGGGGCAGGGGGCAAAAAAATCATGCTGAAATGCCTGACAGGAAAGAATAGAGAGTGCAATGCTTTGGGGATAAGATCTTTGAAAAGTGTTTGCATAGTTAAGAGAACATAGAAGGCAATGTACATGATTAGGGCCAGGTGCAGGCTTAGAAAAGACCTGGAAAGGCCCTAATTTCTGATATCTGTTTGACCCTCAAGCTCTGGACAGGCAAAGGCAAAGTGGAAAACTTACTGGCTGGGTGGAAAAGGTATGCTGTAAGAGACAAACAGAGCACAGCTTCAAAAAATTGGCATTTTTTTGCATTGGTAAATCTAGTTATGCATTTAGTCTATAAATGACACATAATTGCAAATGTTTATGGGTACATTGTGATGTTCTAGAATGTACGTACATTGTATAATGATAAAATTAGGGTTATTAGCATGTTGGTCACCTCAAACCTTTATCATTTCTTTATGGTGATAACTTTCAACATACTCTTTTCTAGCTATTATAAAATATATGATACATTCTTATTACCTATAGTCACCCTACTATGTAATAGAGCGCCATAATTTACTTTTTATATCTAACTGTAACTTTGCGCCCATTGACTGATCTCTCTCAATCTTTACCTTCCCAGAGCTCCGGTAACCACCATTCTACCCTTAACTTCTATAAGATTTACTTTCCAGTATTCCACATGTTAGTGATATCATGCGGTATTTGTCTTTCAATGTGTGGTTTCTTTCATTTAAAATTATATCTCCTAGGTTCACCCATATTGCCACAAATGACAGAATCTTATTTCTTTCTAGAGCCAAATAGTATTTCATTTGTACATATACCACATTTTCTGTATTCACTGATGGGCACGTATTGATTTAATTTCTTGGCTATTGTGAACAGTGTTGCAGTAAACATCATAGGACAACTATCCTTTTCACATGTTGGTTTCAATTACTTTGGGTGTATATCTAAAGTCCTACCATGAACCATATAGTACCTCTATTTTTAATTTTTTGAGAAATCTCCATACTGTTTTTTATGATGGTGGTACTAAAGCTACATTCCCACAAAGTGTAAAAAAGTTTTTGTTTCTTTGCATCTTCACAAACATGTTATTTTTGTCTTTTTAATAATAGCCATTGTTACTAGGGTGGAGTGATAACTCATTGTGGTTTTTATTTGCACTTCTCTTACAGTTAGTGACATTTTGTTATAAACTTACCAGCCATTTGTAAGCCTTACTTTGACAAATGTCTGTTAAAGCCTTTTGCCATTTTTAAACTGGATTGTTTTGTTTTCTTTTGTTTGTTTTGCTATTGAGTTGCTTGAATCCTTTATACACTCACGATATTTGTACAGTTTGCAAACATTTTCTCCCATTCTGTAGGTTGTCTCTCCACTCTTTTCATTGTGTTGTTTGTCGTTCAGCTTTTTGTTAGATGCATCAGCTGCTCATGTATGCCGTGGAGCTTTGCAGTTTGATATAATCTGTTTGCCTACATTTGCTTGTGTTGCCCATGCTTTTGAGGTTCTCCACAAAAACTCCTTCTCAAGAGCAATATGATAGAGCATTTCACATGTGTTTCCTTCTAGTAAGTTTTAAATTTTGGGTCCTACATTTAAGTATTCAATCTATTTGAGTTGATTTTTGAATATGTAAGAAATAAGAACCGAATTTTATTATTCTGCTTGTGCTATACAGTTTTCCCAGCATCGTTTATTGAAGAGACTATCTTTCCCCCAATGTGTGTTCTTGGCACTTTTGTCAAAAATCAGTTGGCTTTTTAGAGTAGATTTATTTCTGGTTTCCCTCGTCTTGTAATACAAAGAATTACAAGAGACTATTAAGAACAACTTAATAGTTCCATTGGTCTAAGTACCTGGATTTTTTTTTTTTTTTTTTTTTTTGGTATGCTTGTTGTTTTTTTTGTCAGTACCATGTTGTTTTGGTTACTAAAATTTGAAGTACATTTGAAGTCAGATGACGTGATGTCTCCGCTTCATTTATTTATTTTTGCTGAAGGTTACTTTGGCTATTTTGGTCTTTTGTGATTCAACTTAAATTTTGTACTTTTTTATTTCTATGAAGAATTTCATTACCATTTTGATAGGAATTATGAAAAATATGTAGATCACTTTGGATACTATGAGGATTTTAATGATATTATTTCTCCAAATACGAACACAGGGTATCTCTTTTGATATCTGCAGTTTGTTTCATCAGTGTTTTATAATTTTGTTGTAGAAATCTTTCACATCCTTGGTTAAATTTATTCCTAGGTATTTTATTGTATTCAATAGCAGTTATAAATGAGAGTGCTTTCTTGATTTCTTTTTCAGGTACTTGTTAGGAGAATATAGAAATGCTACTAATGTTTGTGTGCTGATTTTGTATCCTGCAACTTAAATTAATGTATTATTTCTAACAGTTTCTTAAAGGAATTGAGATTTTCTATACGTACGATCGTGTCATCAGAGAACGGGGACAATTCCCCTTCCTGTTTTCCAATTTAAATGTCGTTTATTTTCCTCTTTTGCACTATTGCTCCAGCTGGGACTTCAAGTACCATGTTGAATAAAAGTGGTGAAAGTGAGCATACTTGAATTGTTACAGATCATGGAGAAAAGATTTTTAACTTTCTTCCTTCACTCTAATGTTAGCTGTGGGTTTGTCATGTATGACTTTTATTGTGTTGAGGTTTGTTCCTCTAATACCTAAATTGTACAGAGTTTGTATGATAAGAGATGTTATATTTACCGAATACTTTCCTGCATGTGTTGAGATGACCACATGGTTTTTGACTGATGTATTATGTTTATTGATTTGACTATATTGAACCATTCTTGCATCCTTCGGATGACTCCCAGTTGTGTATGGTAAATAATCTTTTCAAAGTGTTGTTGGATGCAATTTGCTGGTGTTTTTTCTTTTAGTGTTTATGCATCTGTGCTCATGTGAGAAATTGGTTTCCTTTTTTTGTGGTGTTTTTGGTATCAGGTTAATGCTGGCCTTGTGAATAACTTTGGAAGTATTCCCTCCTCTTCCATATTTTGTAAAAGTTTGAGAAGTATTGTTAATTCTTCTTTGTATGTTTGTTAGAATTCAGGCCGGGCGCGGTGGCTCAAGCCTGTAATCCCAGCACTTTGGGAGGCCGAGGCGGGTGGATCACGAGGCCAAGAGATCGAGACCATCCTGGTCAACATGGTGAAACCCCGTCTCTACTAAAAATACAAAAAATTAGCTGGGCATGGTGGCGCGTGCCTGTAATCCCAGCTACTCGGGAGGCTGAGACAGGAGAATTGCCTGAACCCAGGAGGCAGAGGTTGCGGTGAGCCGAGATCGCGCCATTGCACTCCAGCCTGGGTAACAAGAGCGAAACTCCGTCCCCAAAAAAAAAAAAAAAGGAATTCAATGGTGAAGCCATCAGTTCCTGAAACTTTCTTTGATGGGAGAGTTTTTATTTCCAGTTTCATCTTCTTACTCATTATTGGTCTTTTCAGTTTTTCTATTTCCTCATGATTCAATCTCAGCAGGTTTTATGTGTTCAGTAATTTATTCATTTCTTCCAGGTTTTTCATTTTGAGGCAAATAGTTGTTCTTAATAATCTCTTGTAATCCTTTGTATTTCTGTGGTATCAATTGTAATTTCTCCTTTTTATCTCTAATTTTATTTATTTGAGTCTTGTCTCATTTTCTTAGTCCGCTAACAAATTGTTGATTTTATCTTCAGAAAACCAACTGTCTCATTCATCTTTTCTATTTTTAAAATTTTCTATTTTGTTTATTTCTATTCTGCTCTTTATTATTTATTCCCTTTTACTACTTCTACTACTTCGTACCTTTTGTTTTTTCTTGTTTTTCTGGTTCCCTGAAGTATAATATTAGATTACTTCTTTGAAACAGTTCTTTTTTTCATGCAGGTATTTATTGCTATAAACTTCCCTCTCAGAATTGCTTTTGCTAGAGTGCTATTTAACTCCATTTATTTGTTGTAGATGATTATTCTGTCTGGATTTGTTTCACTGGTGAAAATGTGGTGCTGAAATTTTCTATTATTATTGGATTGTGGTCCATTTCTCCCTGTAGGCCTATTAGTACTTACTTTACGTATTTGTGTGCCCCAGTGTTGGGTACATATTTGTTTATAACTGTTACAACCTCTTGCTGTATTGATCTCTTTATTAATTTATAATGGCCTTCGTCATCTTTCTTTACCATTCTTGACTTAAAGTCAGCTTTATCTAATGTATCTATTCTTGTGACTTTTTTGGTTTTCATTTGATGGTTTATCTCGTTCTGTCATTTCACTTAGTCTATCTGTCTTTGCAGATTAAGGGACATTGTAGACAGCATACATTTGGTCTTGTTTTTAAGTTTATTCAGCTATTCTACATCTTTTCATTAAATAATTTAAGTAATTTAATCCATTTACCTTTGAGGTTATTACTGATGTATAAGGGTTGTGTAGTGCCATTTTGTCACTACTTTTCCGGTTGTTTTGCAGATCCTTTGAGGATCCTGAAGCTGAGGTCCAGAGGAGGGGAAGGGCAGGTCCCGGGCGCTCCCCAGGCAAAGGGAGCTGATCTTGGGGTACAGGGCTCCACTCCTGCGACCTCTAGGGCCCCAGAGCGGGGGAGGATGAGAGACTGGGAGTTTTCGTTCACCCCTGGGGCTGGACAGAGGCTCGGCCTGTGCCACAACCCAAAGCCGCCTCTGGCCAGTCCGTGGCCCCTTTAAGACGAGGTGGTGCTTCAGCCTGGCGCGAGGGCGCTGCCAGCGTGCGTGCCCTACGGAAGCCGAGACTGCGCTTCTCGCGTGGATACGGCAGGAACGGCGGCGTGGTCGGAGCGGGGAGAAGCCGCGCGTGGTCGGAGGGGGGTGAAGCGGCGGCGTGGTCGGAGCGGGGAGAAGCCGCGGCGTGGTCGGAGGGGGGAGAAGCCGCGGCGTGG